TGGCCCTTGGGCTTTTCCACATGGTCAGTGGGATACAGGGGGACACTGCGGGCCAGGTGGGAACCTAGAGGTCCCCAGTACACAGCTTTGAGTGAGGTCAGCTTGTCTTCCGACTGGTGCTGGAGTGGTGTGTGCAAGTGAGAGTGTGTGTGTGTGCGCATGTGTGTGTGTGTGTGTTGTGGGGGTGATGTTGGTTAGTCCTTTATTAAATTAGGATTCCAGGACTCAGGCAAGACTCAGTCTGGTTTGACCCTGTTGGGAGAACCCTCTGAGTAAAGCTTTGCCCACTGCCTGGGGACAGAGCAGACACCCGGCATCTGGGGACTTGGAGGGGCAGCTTCTCTGTTTCTCAGTCGAGGGGCCTTCTGGGGCTCTGTCTTGCTTGTGCTGAGTGTGTGTTCCTCCTCCACCCTCCACAGACTATCTGATCAATGTGATGGACGCCCTGGGCCTGCAGCCGTCCCGCACCCTGCAGAGCATCGTGACGCTCTTGAAGGCCAGGCCCGAGGATTACAGGCAGGCCAGCAAAGGCGTTCCCCCTCGCCTGGCCTCCACGGTGGCCAGCATGCGTGGCGTGAGTTACTGATCGCGCCACGCACCCGCCTGCCAACGTCAGGGCTGGTGTTCCGCGGTCACAGGACTCACCAGCACGGATTCGTGCTGAAACTGCCAGGGACTAGGCAGAATTTGTTTTAAAAAGACTTGATTCATTTGTATAATCAAGAAATGGTTGTAAATTAGAGATATATTATTTATCAGAAGGGACTTTTTAGATAATTTTTTAATATGATGTGATCTTGAAAATGGAATTAATAAATACTGTGGAAAGAGAGAAGGCTGCTTTCCTTCCTTCCCCCTTCAGTGACATCTGAGTGCCTCCCATTTGCAGTGCCGTGCGCGCTGCGGAGGTGGCCCTGGCGGAGGCAGGTGACGCTCCGTGGGAAAGCAGGGAGGGAGAGAGGCAAAGCGAGAGGACCATGCCTGACATAAGTGCTGGGGAGAAGAGGGTGTCGAGGGTGGGAGACGGCACTGGGCAAGGGGTGGGCAGCCCCGAGACCTGCAGGGTGAGAGCTGCGTGGCAGAGAGCTGAGGAGGAGTATCCAGGCCAAGGCGCGGTGTAGACCAGGCCCTGAGGCGCGTCCAAGGTCAGCTGTGTCCAAGGTCAGCAGGGGGCTGCCGAGGAGCTGATGATGCGGAGGGAAGTGGGAAATAGGGTCAGGGAGGATGTGGGAGGCTGGATCACATGGGGTCTTGGAGGCTGTGGTAAGGATTTTGGCTTTCACTTTGTTCCTTTTTTAAAATTTATGGGGTGATGTGAATTTGTTCCATTTTCTGTTGTTGTTGTTAACAGCTTCTGTGTCTGTTAGGATTGCCTTTGTCTATAAGTAATGGAATAACGTGATGTGAGTGACTTAAATAGGAATTAACTGTTCTCAAGAACAAGGCGTGCAAGGGTGGAGCCTCCAGGCACCAATTTAGTGGCTGGACAGAGTCAGAAGCAGGACCAGCCTCTCTGCGGTCTTGGCCCTTTTCCCACATGTGGACACCTCGTCATCACAGGTGACGCCCGCAGCTGCAAGGATCGCATCCACGTGCAGGGGAGGAGAGGGGAGGGATGGCAGAGCACCCATTCTGTGCCTTCTGTCAGATGAGCAGTGGCCGACCTGCTCCTGGGCCTCACTGGCCATTTCCGGGTCACGAGGTGTCCCCCTGCAAGGGAGGTGGGGAAGAAGGGCACAGGGCTGGCTTTGGCCAACATTTCTCAGCCTCAGCGCCAGTGACATTGTGGGTGGATCAGCTCTCTGTCACGCAGCTCTCCCGTGCACTGCGGTGGTTAGCAGTGCCCCTGGCCTCCACCCACTAGGTGCCAGGAGTATTTTCCTACTTGTGACAACCACAGATATCTCTGGAAATTTCCTGAGGGGCAAATTCATCTCCAGTTGAGAAACACTGGCTCAGACCAATTAGGATTTATTGTCTGGGCTGGGCTTGTTGCTGCCCTGAACAAAACTGGGTTTCTGTTAGCGAGGAAGAGAGGAATGACAACAGTGTCTCTCATGGGCCGTCCCTGGAAATGAGCCCTTCCTGGGGCTCAGGCTGGGCTGAGCTCTGCCTCTCTCTGGGCTCCTCGCCAGCACGGAGAGGTTTAGGGGTCACTCAACTACCACGTGGCAGGGTGGGGTTCAGAGCGAGCCTGGTGACCGTGGCATGTGCAGCCCTGACCAATGCCGGGCCGCTTTCCTCGTGCGGGGCTCAGGAATGGCATGTGGGGGGACGCCTGGTCCCAGTGGGTGGGTCATCCCGCTCATGCCAGCCCTCTAGAGTGGCCCTGCCACGCCCATGGCTTCTCTTGAACCAGCCCCACTGGGCCGCCAGGGCTACTGTCCCCCTGGGTCTGTCTCCACAGGGGTTCCCACACATTTCGTCCTCACAGCCTTGGAATCAGTTTGGCCAGCCCTGACGCAGCATCAGCTTCAAACCTGCACCAAGAAAAATATTTTGGTTTCTCATGTGGTGGATCACAGACTGTTCCTGGCAGGGTTTGAGCCTGGCTCTTCTTGCCTTGAAGAAGTGAGAGCCAGAAACCTGGAAGGTGACACTGTGCCGCTTCAAAGTGGAAACTCTTTGTGGTGAGCTTTGTGCCCGTGTTCGTGAGAGCCGCTGGGCTTTGGAGTGGGACAGGCTTGGGCCTGATTCACGGCTTGGCCACCTCCCAGCGTGTGACCTTGGGAAAGTCACTTCACCTGTCTGAGACGCATTTCCTAATCCGAAAACTGAGGTCACGGTGGTACCTACCTCCTGGGGTTATTTGAAGAGCCGTTGAGATACAGAGGGGGTGACAGCACGTACACAGTGTTAATTTTACAGTCCTGCAGCACCAGCAAGCTACCTTCCCTTTAGCAGTAGAGGTGGGAGTTACAGAGTGACATTTTCTGGGCAATTTGGGCCCTGCCCCCCCCTAAGTTTTCATCCCTAGAAGGCTCTGGCAGGGGCCCCAGGGTAGGAACAGGGCAGCATTTCTCCCCTCTAGATCAGAGGGGAGAGGGATGCCCAGCTGACTCAGGGCCTTATTTTAGCGATAGGCGGTGATTCCGCAGCCTGGCCCTCACCACCCCGCAAGAGCAGGGACGCCAAGCTGACGCGCGCCATCAGCCCGGTCCTGGTCACACATGAGCAGAACCTCTCACCCGTCCCCCGTAGGTTCCCCCGGGGGCTAGCCGGGCAGCGGCCCTTCCATCCGCAGCCCCAGTGACCACGATCCAAATGAGCCTCATTGCCAGGCCTTTTGCTGGGACACCATGAAGGAAGAGCTTTGTTCCCCGGGGGTGCTAGTGGAGGGGACGGAGCTGGCACTGTGGGAGGAAGTTGATGCTGGGGAAGAAGAGCACGTAGAGAGAACCTGCTTGAGAGGGGCGGCAACACAGGGACACCGGATCTAGGGGAGCCCCGTGTGCAGCCACGTCTGAGATCCCTGCACGTGTGAGATCCCTGCACGTGTGCTACGAAAGCCAACGCATTCCCTTTGTAGCTGACGCCTGTTCAAATCGACGTGTGAGACTGAAGAGCTGGCAAAGGAGCGAGCCAGATGATAATGTCCCGTGGCTTCAGATGAGACAATAAATACGAACGCTCCCAGCTCCTGAAAGGCTGCGGTCCCCAACCCTGGGCCATGGACTGGTACCGGTCCATGGAAAAATGGTCTTCCATGAAACTTAGGAACCAGGGGGGGTTGCACAGCAGGGGGGCGAGCAAAACCTCATCTGTATTTACAGCCGCTCCCCATCACTGGCACCACCGCCTGAGCTCCGCCGCAGCCCCCACCGCATCTGTGGATGAATTGTCTTCCATGAAACCAGTCCCTGGTGCCAAAAAGGTTGGGGACCGCTGCTGGAAGGGACTGGTATGGTGATGACCATTGGTACCAAGAGAGTGAGGCTAGAGTCTGGTTTTGTCACTTACTGGAATAGTGACCTTGGGCACCTTACTTCACCTTCCTAAGCCTCAGTTTACTTACCTGTACAGTGGGATGATGCTGTTTCTCAGTGGTTATGAGAATGACATGAAATAAGACTTATACTTGGCCTGGTGCCTGGCACATGGTAAGTGCTTGGTACAATGTAGCCATTGTTTAGTAACAACAGCAAATGGCAACAGTGAGTGTGGGACAGCCATCACCACTGCTAATAATGAAAGCCACAGTCATAGCAGTTAAGGGTGGTCACCAAGAATTGGGACTCCAGCCTGCAGATGAGCTGAGCCCCGAGCTGGGAAACATGGCTTCCTCCAGGTCATCCCTACTCAGCCCCTAGCAATCTGCCTTTGACCAGAGTGGCACCTCCTTCTTCCCTGGGTGCCACCGTGGACATCTGGTGGGAGGACAGCTTATTTACAGCCAAGAGACCCGGGTGGTCTAGGCCAGCAGGGCTGAGCCCCTGCAGACCCAGCTCTAAGGAGACCCTGCTCTTCTTTGGTAACAGCTCCCTGATCTCTCTTTGCGGAACTTAAGGTTGTCATATTTAGCAATTAAAAATACAGGATGCCCACAGAAAAACAACAAATGGTCTATGAGTATAACATGTCCCAAAATTGCGTGGATATATTAATACTTACACTAAAAAATTAATTTTGCTGTCTATTTGAAATTCAGATTTAACTGAGCAGGCTGAATTTTATCTGGTAACCCCAGGAGCCATGGGCCTCCCCAACCCCGAACCCCTGGGCCATATGATTCTTCTGGGGGCAAAATTGGCTTCAAGTCTCTCTCTGTCTCTCTGTCCCTGCAACCCAAAGAGGTAGGCTGAGTGGCACTGAAAAGGGTACTAGGCTACTGCTTCAGGGATAACTTACAGGGAACTTACAGAACTGCAAGAGAGAGCTGCCCCTTGACCTGCTAAAGAGACCGTCCCTCAGTGGCCTTTGCTGAGTGTGGGTGTCCTTCCACCCCCAGAGGGGCCATACGGCACCCCAGCTGCCCAGCTAGACAAAGGACAAAGCTCAACTCAGTGTTTTCTACTTTTATTTATTTTCTAGAACAGAGTATGTGCCACCCGGCAGGGCTCCCACGTGCGATGCTCTTCCTCCTCCCACCACCCTCACCCTCCTGAGCCTGTTCCCAGGGGTCACTGACCAAGGCCAGGAAGGAAGGGGCCACACGGCATGCCCACCTGTCCTCTCTGGGGCAGACAGCGGCTGGTGTTCCGGGGTCTAGCTGGGGATACCCAGGACAGGTGGGCACATGGGCAGGGCCCAGGGAGAACACGGTTCCCACACCCTGCACGGCACTGTGGCCCTGCAGGGCCCGGGGCCTGGGCCTGGCCACTGGCTGCCTGCCCCCGTGTTGAGGGACACAGGCTCTGGGCTTGGACACAGTCTGGCCCTCTGGAAAGGGCACCATAGAACGACGCCTTGGCCAATGGCATCCGCTTCTCAGCTTCGAGTTCCTGAGCTGCCCAGGGACAGGGCTAGATGGCGTCGCCCTCACTGTCAGACTCGATGACATCCAGGGGCTGCAGACGCAGGGAGTCATAGTTGGGGGGCGGGGTGCCGGGGATGGGCATGGCCTGCTCGTCAGGGTAGGCCTCGGCGCTGGGGCTGTGGTTGGCTGTGTCAGGCTGGAAGCCGAAGTTGGTGTGGGCCTCCACCAGCTCGGCGACGGTGGGCGGCGGGCCGGCGTAGCGAGCCGGGGCCGGGCGCCGCCGCGGGCTCTTGGCAAAGGCCACCAGCTTGATGATGGTGATCCACACGAAGTCGATGATGATCTCCGCAAACTCAATGAGGCACAGCACTGAGCCCCCCATCCAGAAGCCGAACTGGCCGCCCAGGTTTGAGAGCAGCCAGACGATCTGTGGGCAGGGGCAGCAAGGGCCTGGCTCGGGTGGGGTCGGGCCACGGCTCCCACCTCAGGCCCAGCCTCACGGAAGGGGAGAAGGGAGGCCATCTTGGCCCGGTGTAGGGGCCTTCCTAATGTCCCCCATTGGGCTCAGGGCCCTCCCTACCCGCAGAGTGCAGGGGGTGGAGCAGGGCGGGACTGGGGTGTCTGGAGGCCCCCAGACTCACGTTATTGGCCGGTGATTCCTCAATGGTGCGGTAGTTGAATTCTTGGAAGTAGATGTTGAGCTTGACGATTCCCTTCCTGCAGGAGGCAGCAGAAGGGCTGGGACTGTGGAAACGCCTCCTCGGTGCGCACACAGACGTACACATGTGCACAGACATGCACACACATGCTTACACATACACCTGCACGCTCATGCACACATGTGCATACACATGCACAACGCAAAGGCAGCCACGGCGCGGCCCCAGCCCTCCTCTGGCCCGAGCGTCTCGCAGGGCTTCCTGCCCAGCACCTGTCTGTAGCCCACTTTCTCAACCACATCCCTGCCGGTTTCCTAAAGCCTACTCTGACCTGAGACACCCCCGAAGATCTGCCCTGAGCTCCCCTCTCCCCACTCCTAGGTGGCCCAGCCCATCGGCAGGGACCCTGCACAGAGCTCCTAAGCCTGACACCTGGCACCTGGGGCAGAGAAGGGTGGCCGAGTGGGCTTCCACTCACGCCTGACAGTCCTCAGAAAAGCCGTGCTATCTCCTAGCTCCAGGCTTTTGCCCAAGCTTGTCTTCTGCCTGGGCATCTTTGACCCTTCTTATTTGAACAGTTCCTTTTCCTCCTTGGAGAGCCCAGCTGTCACCTCCCTGCACAGCTCCCCTGTCTCAGGCAGCCTGAGGCTCCTTCCCTGCTGTGCTCCTGCGTGGGGGCTTGTGCAGACCCTCCTTACACCTGGCATGTTTGCATAGATCTGTCCTCTAGGCTCCAGTAGCTTCCTGATAGGTCTTTCTCGTGCTCAGTGCATTTGTGTTGAAAGGATGGGTGGAGGGTAGGGGTGGGGAGAGGGCGGGTGGGAGAATGGAAGGATGGACAACAGAGGGATGAATGGACAGCCGGGAGGATGGCTGGGTGGCACAGGAAAGACTAGGCTCCTCTCTTCGGGGTGGTGGCCCTGGCGTGCCCGAGGCTGCCTTTTCTGTCCCTCCTCTACCCTTGCTCTGGTCTGACCACTGTCGGAACAGGTCTGAGCAGCTGCCCTGTGCCCAAACCCCTGCGCTGAGGCTCTGGTTCCCCACTTTTGAACCTTCCCAGCCCAGCCCGGGCTCCAGGCTCACCTGCTCAGGGTGATATTGGTACTCTGGTCCCGCTCCTGCGACAAGACGTGGAAAATCCAGTCCTGGAAACCAAGAAGGCAACTGAAAAAATGGCACCTGCAGCGTCCCCCCCAGCACTGCCCCTGCCCCCTGTGGGGAGGGAGACGGCAGCCCTGTGCCCTCCTGACACCCCAGGGCCATGGGTGGGACCGGAGCAGGAGGAAGGTCATGTCACGGTGGCAGCTGTGGCTGCTGTTCTGGGGAGAAGGGACACAGTCCCCAGGCTGTCTCTCCAGGCCCAGTGTCCTGCCCAACTCTGCTCGCCGCTGGCCCAGCCTCCACCTCCAGGTTTCAGCTCGTGTCACCTTTTAAAGAGGCCTCCCCTGAGCACTGTGTCTACAGGGGTCTCCCCGGTCACCTTCTCCATCATCCTGTCATTTCCTTCACTGCCACGACCACACTTGGAAGTGGTCTTATTTCTGTGTGTGTGACGTCTCTCTCCAGCTGCAATGTCAGCTCCGTGAGGACGAGGGCTACGTGCGTCTCTCACCGCTGTGTCCCTAGCACAGCGCCCGGGATTGTTGGTGGAGGGAAGGAGGGAAGGAAGGAAGGAGGGAAGAAAGGAAGGAGGGAAGGAGAGAAGGAAGAAAGGAGGGAAAGAGGGAAGGAAGGAAGGAGAAAAGAAAGAAAGGAGGGAAGTAGGGAAGGAGGGAGGGAAGGATGGAAGGAAAGAAGGAAGAAAGGAGGGAAGGATGGAAGGAAGAAGGAAGAAAGGGAAGGAGGGAGGAAGAAGGGAGGGCAAGAAGGAGGGAAGGAGGACAGGGGGGAAGGAGGGAGGCACTCCCTTGAAGTTCCAAGCAGCCTGCATCCTATGCCCCGACTTGTCCCCTGCCCGAAGATGTGGGACCAGGAGCTTAGCCACCCACCATCTCACCTCGGAGGCTTCAGAAGGCCAGTCGGCCATGGAGATGGTCAGCTTGTACTGGGTGTCACTGAAAGAGAAAGCCAGCCCTGTGGCTGTCCCGCCAGAACCGCCCCTCCCCTCCACGCCCTGCCCGCCGTGCCCACAGCCACACTCACTTGCAGGACTCCTTGCACAGGCCGATGCAGGTCTCTCTCTGGTCCAGGCTCATCTGCAGATCTGAGTAGCAACGAGCTGAGCAGGAGAGAGGGAGGTGGCTAAGAGACCGTGAGGGGCTTTCTACGGCCCCTCTCCCGCTGAGCCTCTCTGGCCGGCAGCTCTGCTCTCCTGGCCCTGGGCCACCTGAGGCCGTGGTTAGGTGGCGGAGGGTGTCATGGAGAGGCAGCGCTCCCCAGCCAGCCCCCATCTCCAGCCATTCCACCCCTGCCTGGCCTGGGGGACGTTTGCCCCAAACATCCTAGACCAGCTCACAGCTTTCCCTGTGCCTGCCGTCCCCATCCCTGCCCAAGGGACTGGGTTATGGGGTCATGTATGAAGGCATGGCGGGTGGAATAAAGGTTTCCCTTTTTGCTGTCCGTTGTGTTGGGTTTTTTTTTTGTTTTATTTTTTAACAGAGTCTCACTTTGTTGCCTGGGCTAGAGTGCTGTGGCGTCAGCCTCACTCACAGCAACCTCGAACTCCTGGGCTTAAGCGATCCTTCTGCCTCAGCCTCCCGAATAAGCTGGGACTACAGGCACATGCCACCATGCCCGGCTAATTTTTTCTATGTATTTTTAGCTGTCCAAGTAATTTCTTTCTATTTTTAGTAGAGATGGGGTCTCGCTCTTGCTAAGGCTGGTCTCGAACTCCTGAGCTCAAACGATCCACCCGCCTCAGCCTCCCAGAGTGCTAGGATTACAGGCGTGAGCCACCACGGCCGGCCGTTGTGTGTGTTTTAAGAGGTGGGTCTATTGCACGCAACATTCATCAGTGTTTGGAGCCCAGACCACCTGCGAGGGCTCTTTCCCCTGTCACTCCAGGTTTCAAGCCCTTGGAGGCCACCAACAAGACAGTGGCCTCCTCCCCTTCCCCTCCCATCCAGCGCCCTGCAAAGAGACACTGGTGAGACCACACAGACACGGACATGCACTGAGGGCAGACACACGCCTGTGCGAGCGTGCACACACATGCGTGCGCACAAAAGCAGAGTGCATGCACGCAGACTCAGGCAGTTTGTGCCTGTGCGTAAACCTGCACAGAGACACGTACTGCGGTCACAGAGGGCACCAGTGCATTGAGACACAGCACAGAAGTGCCCTTTCACACATGCATTTGGAAATGGCCACGTGGCACACAACCCAGGCCCGGGCTCCCACACCTACACGTTTGAAGCCCATGCTTCACGGAATCGAGTACAGGAGAGCCCAGGTTCCTGCAGCAGGGAGTGCTGGGAGGGGGTTGGAGGAGGGATCGTGGACCATGGAGAAGCTGCTGGGCACATCCCTGCGCCCCACCAAGGGCTCCGAGCTCTGTCCCCTCCTCTGTGGCCCCGCTCACCCCAGTCCGGGAAGTCCCAGTTGTTGCAGTACTTCTCCCCGGGGGGCAGGGGGTAGAGGTAGTGGCCACAGCTGCAGTTACGGATAATGTGGTCTTGGAAGCAGGAGCGAAGACATGCCTGGGGGTGCCGTGGGGGAGAACAGAGGCTCAGCTGATGAAGTCCCCACCCCAGTGCCAGGGGAAGGTACGCAGGGAAGTGATGCTCAGGCCACGGGGCTGGGGGAGCCAGGAATGGTGCCCCTTGGGCTGAGATATTGGGGGCCCCCTGTAGTCAGGGCGTGGCTGTCCTTCCCCATTGGGTCTTATGGCAGGTCCCTGGACCCCACATTGGGACTCTGGCCAGACGCCAGCAGCCCAGGTCTCAGTCCCTACGGCTCACCACGGGAAGGTGGCTCACCCCAGACTATACAACCAAGGCTCAGGCAGGCTTGTTAGGAGGCCAGCACCTCCCAAGCGCTTGGCGTCAATGCACCCAGAGAGACAGCGCGAGGAAGACAGGCGAGCTGGCCCTGCGTCCTTCCTCCTGGAGGGACACCCCCAGGGAAAGCCAGGAGAAGGATGACCTTTGACCATCCTGACCTCCACTGACGACAGAGGAGGTAAGCAGCCTGCTGCTCTGCAGAATGTCCCCTGGTGGGGCAGAGCGAAGGGACTGACTCCGGCAGCCCCGGGGCCTGGATGTGCCGAACCCCACTCGCCTGCCCCACCATGCCGGGCGCTCAGGCCACTCTGACCTGGTTTCATCCGCTCTGACACCAACTATGTGTCCCAGGGCAGGTCATCAGCCTGTGAGCCTGGCTCTGCTCATGGCTGAAACAGGTGTTCATGACACCTGCCTCCTAAGGGCGGGAGGACTCCGCGCAGTGTCAGGCGCAGAGGGTGCAGAGGGGACAGACAGAAGCCTGTCACCCAGGCTTCTCCGCCTGTCCAGGTCCGAAGTCCTGACCACCACGGACTCCTCACTCCTGCTCTGGCCCTTGCAGACTCCTCTCCGCCGTACAAGACCTTCTATTCTCCAGATGAGTCTGAGCCCCGCAGGGCAGGAAATGGGGGCAGCCTGGCAGGTCACGTGGCACCGCAGCGGGGAGCCAGAGCTGGGGCTGGGGGAGGCTCTGACCTTGGGCAAGGGTCTTAGGCTCGTCCAGACCTCGCGTCTCATCTGGAAAGTGGGAGTCCTCCCTGGGCCCAGGCCTGTCCCTGTGGCCCGGGGAGGGCGTGGGGGTCCGCAGAGCTCCTGACCAGGGCCTGGGGCTCTGCTGAAGCTCCCAGCCTGAGTGGTTACCGCTCTGCAAGAAGCAGGAGCTATGGTTCCGCTGGGAGGAGGTCCCTGGGGCTGGGACTCTTTCTCCACCTTTCCCATCTATCTCCCTGTGCTGCCCTGTCTGTCTGTCTGTCTATCCCTCCAGAGGCCCAGAAGATTCCTAGGCTTCTCTGTAGCAGACAGAAGCCCCTCCGGACTGGAGGTGGCCAAACCGGCTCATGAGTGGGCGAGCAGGCGGGCGCCGGGAGGGTCGATTCCTGTGACTAACGCAAAAGGGAAAACCACGCCATGCTCGGGGCCCCACACGTGGAGGCAGGTGCCAGGCAGCCCCCTTGTTATGCCTTAGTTTCCGTATCTGCCAAGGCAGACTGGGCTGGGAGGGGAAGCGTCAGCGAGTGGTCACTTCTGTCATCTTTGCAAGGTTCTCAGGGGGCCAGGTCTAGGGGCAGGTCTGGGCTGACCCTGGAGATCAGGACAGGAGGGACACCCCCAGCTGCAGTAGGGGGGATTGCAGGCAGATACAAAGAGGGACTTCCCAGGTAAACAGACCCCATTTGGACTGGGGTCTGTTATCCCAATTTCCTTATTCCTAAAGTGGGAATGATAATAGTAGCCACATCTTAGGGTTGTCATGAGGATTAAATGATTTCATCTGTGTAAGGTACTTAAAACAGCCCTGCCTAGCACGTGATATGCCTGCTAGTGTTGGTAAGTTGAGAAATGTTGCTGTTGTCAGCATATTATTGCCCCGGGGCGTGTGGAAGGAATCCAGTGATGGCGCAGCGAGTGCACGCTCTGGGCACAGCATCTCACACGGTGACAGCTCCATAGCGCGAGCTTCTCGCCTTTTGTTTTCCTCTTGGGAGACCCCAGAGGGAGATCCCTATAATGTCCGGCATCCCCAAGGACACTCTGCCCGAGTGGGGATGAGGGGTGCCAGCCCTGGGCCCCAGTGAGGACCCAGGAACTGCACGAGTCCCACAGCCCCGACAGTGCCCGGTGGCCACCTACAACACTCCGCAGAGCCAGCCTTGCCGGGGCAGCTCTCCCAGGGCCCTGCCGACGTGGACGGGGCCCCAGGGCCACGAGGCCCGCACCGTCTTCCCACCTGGATGGAGTAGGTCGTGTTGTAGTTGCTGTAGAAGTTTCGGATGGGGACGTCGGAGCCGTTCACGGTGCACGGGCTGTAGGGCTCGCCCTTGCGCTGCAGCTTGTCCTGTGACCAGAGGGCTTGCTCGAGGGGGCCGTCCCTCCCTCCCGTCAAGCCTGCGGGACCAGGGTGCTGGGGGGATGGAGAGCCCCAGGCCCCAGAAGGAGCCGGAGGGCTTGTCTCCCCGAGAGCGGTGCCCGGGGGGCTTCCGGCCAGAAGGCCGGGCAGGAGCGGATGGAGGGAGGCCGGGGCTGGGGCCGGATCCGCTCCTCTCGGGCCAAGGGAGGTTATCCCTGGACAGGGGCTTCCGCCCTCCGCCCCTCGGGCTGCCCCGGGCTCCAGCCGTACCACCAGCACTCCGATGGACGTCTCCGTCCCCGACATGGCGTAGATGCCCTCCTCCCTGATGAAGGGGTATGACCTCTGCTCGTGAAGCAGCAGCCGGACGCCGGCCGTGGACGCGAGGAAGGGCACGTAGTCTTCCTGGCCTATGTCCAGGATCAGCTTCAGGCCTGTGTGGAGGTGGGGCGAGGGGGCCGCCTGAACTCACTCCCCAAGGCTGAGCGGGGGGACCCAGCACCCACTTGTGTAAGCTCCCTCCAGCCACGAGCACCTCCAGGGCCTGCCAAGGAAGCCGGCTCCACTTGGCGACAACACAGGTCCCCAGTCCTGCCTGCTTTCTCCAAAGCCCCCATCGTCTCCGGCGTGGGGTTCTCTCCACCCGCCTTGAGCTCTTGTCTGCTCAGCAGGTAGCTCTGGGAGGCACAGCCCGGCCCACCACGCCACTGCACCTCATATGGGGGGCCCCTTTCTCCCCATTCAGCCCCTCTGAGCATCCATGCTCCTTCCTGTGGCTGTGCCTCTGCACATGCTGTTCCCTAACTCCAAATGCTGTTCCCTGACTCCAGAATGCCGTCTCCTCGCTCACCCTTCCCCTAGAAACTCCTGCTCTTCCTTCAGATCTCAGCCAAGGGTCTCTTCCTCCAGAAGCCTTCGCTGACTGCCCAGACTAGGTCTCAGGGTCTTTGTTTCACACTCTCCTAGCTCCAGAACTTTCCTTCAGAGTACCTGCCTCACTTGTGTGATTCTTCTTCACAGCCAAGCAGTTCGCCCACGTTACGTCTTAACAACTCACGAGGCATATCCTACACGCTAGACCCAATGCTGTTCTATAGTCTGCTACTGTGTGCTATTCTCTGAATGGGGAAACTGAGGCTTTGAGAAGGTAAGTCTTGAGCTCAGGATCACCCGGGGAGTGAGCTCCAGGTGGAGCTGGGATTTGATCCGGGCACAGGAGAGTGAGCGCTTGACCACAAAGCTGTGCTGCTTCTGAATCCTCACTTTGCCCCTCAGCAGAATGGGCCAGCAGTGCCTACCCCAGGGGTGTGAGCACTGGAGGAGGGAACCGAAGCACCCGGCCCAGTCCCCCTGCACCTGGTAGAGCCCCAACCCTGGCCACCCTCTTGGTGCCAGCCTCAGTCCTCCCAAGTCCCATCCCCAGCGAGGTGTAAAGCCTCAGGGCGCTGGCCCCAGGACTCACCGAACTCGGTTCCGGGGTTGGCGGAAGGAAGCGCCTTCTCCGTCATGCCCCAGTTGAAGATGTAACAGTTGCCGTAATGAGGGTAGAAGATGGACGTGAAGTTCCTAAAAGAAACAGCGTGAGCTGAGGGCCAGGGCCCGCCCCAGCTGGCGCGTCCCCGACTGTCTGCTGCCCTTCACCGAGTGCTCGCAGAGGCCCCGGAGGGACAGGTGAGCGACAGGTCATTCTGTCCAGCGCCCTGCAGGAGCCAGCGAGGAGATTCCCAGAGCCCCTGGGGAAAGAGGGAGGAGGGGAGTCTCTCTGGGGCCCAGGCTCTCTGGTTTAGCCATGAGTCATGAAAAAGAACTTTCTTAGATGTTTCCCGGTGTCGCATATACACCCCAAAGAAGACGTGTCCTCACCCCCAGGAACCTGTGAATGTGACCTTATTTGGAAAAAGGGTCTTTGCAGACGTAACCAAGGATCTTGAGATGGGATCATCTCGGATCACCCAGGTGGGCCCTAAATCCAATGACAGGTGTCCTCGGAAGAGACAGAAGGGAAGACGCAGGCACAGAACGGCCGTGTGAAGCCAGAGGCCGAGTTGTGCAGACACAAGCCAGGGACGCCGGGGCCACCGGTGGCTGGAAGCAGGAGGACGGATTCCCTCTAGAACCTTCCGAGGGAGCCCCGTCCTGCCGGCGCCTGAATCTGGGACTTCTGGCCTCTTCTGAGAGAGAATAAATGTTTGGTGTTCTAAGCCACTTGGTTTTGGGTAATTTGTTGCAGCAGACACGGGACACTCATACAGGCCGTAAAAGGCGGCGCCGGACAGCGTTCGCTCAAAGGAGCGGGTGGAGTCAGGGAGGTGGATGAGGCCACCCGGGACCTCAGCCAGAGAGAGGAGACAAGATGCAGGGTCTGGCTCCAGGAAGGGGGACGCGGACGCCAGGAGAAAGAGACAGAACTTCCAGAGGAAATAATTCAACAACAAATGCTTTCTGAAGTAGCAAGAGTATAAGGTAGTTTCAGAAAATTTAGCTTAAAAGCATGAAGCCCCCACCAGCTTCAATGAACATCACCCCAAGGCCAGTCATCTCTGCCTCCCACCCCATAGTAATTAATGATTCTTAAATTAATAATTGTTATCTTTTATTTGTAAACATGTCCATATGTACCTCTAAAAGTAAGAATTTTTTGTTTTGTTTTGTTTTGTTTTTGAGACAGGGTCTCGAGCCATCACCCAGGCTAGAGTGCAGTAGAGTGATCATAGCTCACTGCAACCTCAAAGTCCTGGGCTCAAGTGATCCTCCCGGCTCAGCCTCCTGAGTCGCTGGGACTAGAGGCGCATGCCACCAAGCCTGGCTAATTTTTTTGGTTTTCTTTTTTGTAGAGTTGGGGTCTTACTATGTTGCCTAGGCTGGTCTGGAACTCCTGGCCTCAAGTGATTCTCCTGCCTCGGCCTCCCAAGTGTTGGGCCTACAGGCATGAGCCACTGTGTCTGGCTGTAAGAACTCTTTAAAATAATACTGTAGCCCTGTAGCCATGTTTAAAATAGTTAACAAAATTCCTTGCTAGAGGGTTATGAAATATTCAGCTCAAATTTCCAATTGTCCCATAAAAACCAATTTTGTTTTTTATAATTTATTTGTTCAAGTCGAGACCCAAATAATTTTAACATATCATTAGTTGGTAAGCCTTTTAAGTTTATTTTAATCTATGGCTCCCTCCAACTTTTTTTTTTTTTTTTTAATGCAATATAGCCACTAAAAGAGTTCTGGTTTGATCCAGCTAATAACTGAAAACAAATGATACAATTAGAACATCATGGTTTTGCAATTGTTGATGAATTCGGGGCTTTGGACAATGAACATCAGTGGTGCCCAGTGGTGTATTCTCTAATGGAAGAGCACACCGAAGCCACCAAGGAAGTGGCCTTGCCCCTAAAATCAGACCTGAATGGGATGGAGACTGTCTCTAACTCCCGTTAGGAAATACTAGAGACACAGGAACATGTTAAAACAGAGGTGGGGTGCAGTGGCTCACTCCTCTAATCCGAGCACTTTGGGAGGCCAACTTGGGAGGATGGCTTGAGGCCAGGAGTTCAAGACCACCAGCCTGGGCAACATAGCAAGACCCCCATCTCTAAAAAACAAAAAGGATACCACAGAAAGTCAGTTGTCAAAATAAGACTGGGTAACTTGACAGGATGAATAACCCTGTTTCTTGAACAAGTGAACTGTGAGAGCAAGAAGGGGGTGGGGCAACCTATAGATTGAAAACACTTAAAAGACTTGGGCGAAAATCACAATGGGTGGACTTTAATTGAATCCTGATTCAAACAAAGAAACAAAAAACTAGGACATTTATGAGTGTGAACGTGACCGGATCATTGAAGATATTAAGGAATTATAGTTATTTTTTTTTTCTGAGTGGAATAGTGATATTGCTCAGACCCTTCCAAAGGCTCCTATTGCTCCTAGAGTAAACTGCAAACTCCCCACGCTGGCCTTCTATCTCTTGCTCACTGCACTCTGGCGACACTCCAGATGTTTCCAAACTCAAAGTCGGGGCACCTGCTGTCCCTTGTGCCTGGAATATTCTCTAACCAGCTCTTTAAATAACTGGCTTCTCTTCACCCTTCAGGTCTTATCTGTTCTGAGACCTCCCTGAGGCCCTATGCAAAGCGATAGACTATTTTATTTATTATTTATTATTTTATTTGTTTATTTTATTTATTATTTGAGACAGAGTCTCACTTTGTTGCCCGGCTAGAGTGAGCCGTGGCATCAGCCTAGCTCACAGCAACCCAAACCCTGGGCTCAGCAATCCTGCGCTCAAGCCTCCCCGAGTAGCTGGGACTACAGGCATGTGCCACCATGCCCGGCGAATTTTGTTGTATATATTTTAGTTGTCAATTTTTCTTGTGTTATAGAGACGGGGTCTCGCTCTGCTCAGGCTGTTTTGAACTCATGATCTTGAGCGATCCGCCCGCCTGGGCCTCCCAGAGTGGTAGGATTACAGGCGTGAGCCACCGCGCCCGGCCGATAGACTTTATTAGTTAATAGTGCTTTAACTTTTACCGATATTCTATGCCATTTCTGCAAGTTTATTCCCTGCATCAGGATCTGGAATCGTCCTCTGGGTCTGGCGGGTTCTTGACCAGGCTGCTGTAAACGTAGCCCAGCGACGCGGGGCACTGACTCGCCGTGTGCTAGAAAGAAGAGCCGGGGTCAAGGCGTCAGCGCAGACCCGGCCCGCCTGATCTGAGTCCCGGCTCTGTCACTCACTAGCTGGTGAGCTTGGGAATGTTACCTACTTCACCTGTCCATGCCTCACTTTCTCTATCCATAACGCCGGCGGGAGGCCAGCCGCACCCTGCGTGAGGTCAGGTGCCCGGCGCGCTGCAACGCTCAAACAGCCCTGGCTGCTACTGTGCACAGCTCCGTCCCCAGAGTCTGCCACACCGTACACAGACACTCAGTAAATATTTGTCGCATAAATCATAGTATGTGATAAGGGCATCGGGCAGGATAGAGCGCGTGCCAGGCGGCGACACTAGTTTCCCGTGGCGGGTGGAGGTCAGGAAGGTTTCTTGGAGGAAGTGAGGCCAGAGCTGAGGCTCTGAGGAGGAGGTGGAGGAGGAAAGCCGGGGCTGGAAGTGGGGGAGAGAAAGCCACCAGGCAGGGGACACAGCAGGGCAAAGGTGGAGGAAGAAGAGCAGCCGACGGCACGGTCGACATACACGCTCCGAGGGATCAGGCTGTGCCGGCGGAAGCGAACAGAGCCAGGGCGAACAGTGAATCCGGGCACTGGCGCCTCACGCGAGACCTCGCCCAGGTCAGCGGTACACGTGTCCATAAACGCGTCCAGACAGATGCAGCCCCGGAGCCTCGGGGTGCCCGACCCCTGCGCTGCAGGCCGCCACTCGCCTGGATCGCGCCACAGTTGCTTGTTGACAACCGCTTTACCCAGAGAGGTGCTCGCCACCGGGGCACTCGGGCCCCAGAGCCGGCGCTTCCTATAAAAACCGGTCGGCGAGGCCGGATCGCAGACAGAGCTGCAAGGGCCAGGACGAGACTCAAGTGAGCAGTGGCCGGCGAAGGACAACCGACCGCGAGCCGTGCCTGTAGGTCAGGCAAAGGTAGCGTCCAATTCCGAAGCAATATCATAATTGATGCATGATGGAGTCTAATTCCGGATCTTGTTCTAAAGAAAACAAACAAACAAACAAAAAAACCAAGCTCTGGAGGAAAAGCTGATCTAGGCGCAAGTCTGTATAGTGCCAGAAAGTAAGGAAATATTCAATTAAAAAAAAAAACAACAAAACACCACATGGGAGCATCACAGGGCACAGTGAGCTACACTGGAAAGAGCTCCGTGGCCAAAGCTGAAGAATTGGGCGGAAAGAGTACATACCGTGGGGGTTGGAGTATGACCACGGTACAGCGCGACGCCCAGCGACCCTCTGTTAACTAAATGTGTGGCAGCAACATCGCAGGGATTGCGAGCTGGCGAGGCGGGGGAGGAAGTAGCTTTCGCTCCACCGAATCGATCAACTGCCAAATAGATCCATTCCTCTATCCAGGAGGGTGATATTAGGTCACTTCCCCCACCCAGCCCTCCCCCTTCTCTCCCCGAGTGTACGGACCTACTGACTCCACTTCCGACTGTATACGTCTCGCGAGGGAAGCGTGCGTTTTCTTACAACCGCAGCCGTGGCACGGCGTGCATGGACCAGGTGAGGAAGGTCAACATCACAGATGATGTCACACGGCCATAATGTGCCCCCGACACGGTGTGAGGAGGCCCTGCCGTGTGCTTTGTTTCCCCGGAACCCACAGCCCCAGTGGAGACAGACAGACCCACGCTGAGGACTTTCCAGGAAGCACCTGGCCGTTGCTCCCGAACTGTCGCGTTCGTCCAAAGCGAGGAAGTCTGAGACGTTGTCACAGGGACTAAGGGGACATGACAGGTAAATGCAACGTGCTCCCCTGGATGGGACCCTGGACCAGGAAAAGGTCACGGGGAAAAAGCAGGCAAAATGTGCACGAGGTGTTTCGATTACGTCCTAGTCACGTGCCAGTGCTGCGGTCCCAGTTTGACGAGGGACCGCGGCGGTGCGAGCCGTGAACCACAGAGCAGCCTGGCTGAGGGGTCTGAGGGAACTCCGCGTACTCTCTTTGCTGCTTTTCTCTAAACCTAAAATTATTTCCACAATAAAAAGTCTATTTTTAAAAACTGCTCCTATGATGCTCACCACGTGCCAGGCACGGTACTAAGTTCTTTATGTATGCTAACTCATTGAATCCCCCTGCTGGTGCTATGGGGTCGTTTTGCTGTGCCCGTTTTCCAGATGAGGAAACCGAGGCACAGGGAGGCTTTGTGATGTGCTGGGCCACACGCAGAGATGGCATTTGCAGCTGCCAGGCAGCTGGGAGGCGGGGGCCCAGCCTGGCTCAGACTGTCTTAATGCTGCGGCCGCCGCCGCCGCTTGAGCATTTACTACGATCTGAGGGACGGAGGATGGAGACGGAGGGGAGGCAGGGCCACAGTGTTCGGAGCCCAGCACCAGGGAGGGCAGAGAGAGGCACGTGCCTGCAGCTGTGTCCCAGGCTGACTCGGGAAGGCAGGTGGCCCGAGGCTGCGGGAGTGAGGGACAGCTCAGAGGCAGGTGGACCGAGATTTCTGTGCCAAGGTGCCTGCGTGGTGCCTTTCACTCTGACACGATGAAGGCCAGAGCAAGGAGGCTTGGGAGAGGTGGGTGGGGAGGACAGATCACCTGTGATGAGGTGACAGAGTGATGCGTGGTGGGCCTGGCCCAGACTGCTGGCTCTGCCACTCACCAGCTGTGTGACCTCAGAGATGTTACTTAACCTCTCTGGGCCTCCGTTTCATCATCTATAAAATGGCAGGGGAGAGGGAATAAAGTACCTTTCTCGTGGGCTTGTTGCCAGGGTTAAAGTAATTTTATACACATAGAGTGCTTAGAATACTGCCCTGCACACAAGAAGGGCCCAATGAATATTGGTATAATTATTGAATTTGAATTCCGTGTCAACTGTGGGTTTAATCATACTCAGAACTATTATTTATTGAGCCAGTACTATGGTCAGCCCCGTATGGCTCGTTTAATATTCAAAATAACGCTGCAGGGTAGTGCTGTTATTTCCCCTATTTACAGAGGAGGAGCACTGAGGCCCAGCAAGGTTAAGAAACTTGTTCAAGGTCACACAGCTTGTAAGCTAGAGGCAGGATGACAGCCCAGGTCCCCAGCCTCTACTAAAGTCACTGCCCAGCTGCTCCAGCCCCAGCACAGAAGTCACGTGGCCGATACTGGGGGCTTTGCCTGCCCTTTTCCCACTGATAGCTCCTCGGCTTCCCTTTGGGGGACCTTCAGCCCATCTCACCCAAATGGGGCTTCCTTTGGAGGGCCAGAGGCAAGCTGGGGTGGCCGGTCAGTGTGGGGAGCCGGGCTTGTGCCCTTGAACCCTGGACCCTGACAGCAGACCCACGATCCCAGCTCACTCCCGCTCCAGGCATGTGGTGAGCAGCCGCTGGGCCGTGCGTTTGAGGTTGCGGTACCGCATCTCCCTTTCAGCTCAGCGGGTGAAGGTGGATTTGCTTGTGGACAGACACTGGGCCGTTCGCAGGTATGGCGAGGCAGGTGTGCGGGGAGCAAAGGCCCCTGGCCAAGACAGCGGGGTTCAAACACAGCCTGTAACCAGCTAGCGGAGGAGAGGCCCGGAGGCAGGGCATGTCCCTCCAGCGGCTGCCTTCTTGCTGTCCTGCCACCCGTGGGACCAACTCTTTCTCATTTGCACAATGGGCCGCATGTGTTGCCCTGCCCTGCTTGGGCCTGGGGGCCTTGAATTATTTGACATTATGTGCAAACTTCTTGCCTGTGTGTGCCTGTGCATTTGCGGGGGACAGAGGGTCTGTGGCTTTCAGCAGATTCTCCATAGGGGTTCTTGAAGGTTCCCGAGTTGAGAGAGCTGGGCTGAAGCCACAGTCCCCGGGAGGACGAGCCCGGAAGCCTGTCGCACGTCGCAGCAGTGAGACTCAGCATAAAGCCCCTTTCTCCAGAGGCCTGAAAGTGTGAGAATCGGAAGCCCCAGGCCAGAAAGACACCAGCGAGTCTCAGAACAGGCCCGGCTGAAGCCGGAGCTGGGCCAGGGCGGGTGTGGCGCTCCGCACACCTGGAGGTGCGGCCCTGAGTCCGGGGAGGGGCCCTGGGGCCTCAGAAGTCCTTGCACCTGAGCCGTGTCCCTGTCCCACGCGCTCCCACCGGCTGGGCCAGCAGAGCCTGCAGCCCTCCGGAGGTGCCACAGAGGCACGACCAGGCTTGGCGCTTAGGCCCAGGGTTTGCTTTGTTAGGAGCTGGGCTGACGTTGCCCTCACTCGGCCAGAGTTTCCACGTTCTGGGCCACAGGGGAGAGGAATATTTACAGCAATCCCTTCTGCAGCCTTGCTCACCCTCTGCTCACTCAACTCCACCAGGAACACATGATTGATTGTTGTCCTTGTTTCAGGGACGACAAAACTGAGGGTGGTGGACGCTGGGGTGCCCACCCGGGTGTCCCCAGCCCAGCTGCTGGCTGCGAGGCTAAAAGCCCGGGAAGTCAGCACACCCCGCGCCTCCCTCCTGGGGACCCCCAGCCGTGCCCGACCACGGTGCGTGTGCAAAGGCGGCCCAGCCGACCCCGGGGTGCCTCCTGCGACAGGGCCGAGGCTGAGCCACGTCCTTGCTTAGCCATTCCCACCTTCCCTATCCCACTTTCCTCCCAGACTGTTCCTGAAGCGATTCCTTCAGCGCACCATGAGTCCCTCAGAGCATCCCTGTCTCTAGCCCTAAACCCGACCTGACACACAAGGGCACAGAAAACTGCGGTGTAGACAGACGGCGAGTGGCCGAGTGGGAGGAGGACCCTAACTCCAGCACCCGCCACCCCCCGGAGCAGAGCCGCGGCCGGGCATGCGGGCGGGCGGGCGACTCTCACCGGTAGCTGCAGGGCTCTGCCCCGAACAGGCAGGACAGGATCAGCCGCTCGGCGGGGTAGCCCATCTGCACCAGCTCCTGGGTTGGCACCTGTGCAAAGATGCTGGTGGCCTGCAGGATGTACCACTCCGTCACCGCCTGGGTGGCGCTGGTGAAGTTCTGGAAGATGCACTCGGTCCCGTTGAGGCTGCACTGTGGAGGCCAAGAGGGGTTCCCATGGGTGGGGGGAGCCGGCAGAGCCCCTGCCACTGCCCGAGGGCCACGCATGCTCAGGGACCGCCACCTCACGCACAGCTGCATGCTGCTCACAAGGACCCCAAGCACAGCCACCAGCCTCGCCCGCACTCGCACTGCTATGTATAAGCTAAAACACACACAGTCGTGTGGCAGGCACGAACAGACACCCACTCTCTGACCGCCACAGGGTGACAACTGCACACACATGTCCATTCTAGTCCCCCGACTCTGTATTCCTGGATCCACACAAGTGGCCTCCACACTGACACTTGCATGGCCATACACACACACACACACACACACATACATACACGCACGCACACACGGCTATCCCCGAGAGCAGTGCAGCCAGAACGGATCCGCTGGTAGCCGGGTAACCGCACCAGAAAGTCCTAGAGCTGGCGCTAGACCCAGGAGCCTCCTGCCGCAGGCTGGTTGGTGTGGACAAGTGTGTGTGTGTGTGGGGGAGCTGCAGCAGTCGTGACCCCGTGAACGAGCAGGGCAGGCAGTGGCACCCCGTCTGGAGAGCATGTGGCCCCAGCCTGGGTCCCCATCCAAGGCTGATCGTGAGGACCACCAGGGAGTCTGCTGACAATACAGATTCTGGGGTCTGGAACCAGAACTGCCCACTCCGATCCTCCAGCCGGGGGCCTGGGCATCTGCGTGGTGGCCGAGCTCCCAAAGGGGTCCCGAGACACAGACGAGGGACCTTCCTCCCACGTGCAGGCTCTAGGGACTGGCGGTGCCCCAGCCTCCCAGTGCAGGGCAGCCACTTCTTGGCATCTACCTGTACTGCACCGCTGTGGATTTCACCCCAATGTCCAAGCCTCTGTCTTTTGATGACAAGACTTGGTTCCTACTTCAGGGAGCCACCCTTTCCCCTCACTCGGTCCATGTGGTCGGACAGAGGCTGACGTCACCCCCAGCTCCGTGCACGTGACCCAGGACTGGCCAATCACCAGAGCGCATCCTCTAGCCCACAGGGATCAGTTCCGGGGTGAGCCTGTGACTTGGAGGGTCAGTCCCGGGACTTTCACTGGGGCTATCGGGCAAGAGGAGCTCTTTCTCTGGGGAGATTGCTGAGCTAGGAGGATATAAGCCTGGCACTGACAGGACCCTCCATGTGGAAAGAGCCTGCCAGAGAGTGAAGTCAACCGAGAGAAAAGTTGAACCAATATGGAGAGACAGTCCTGATGACAGCATGTGAACACCTAGATCCAGCCATACCTGAATGCAAATATCCCTGCACTTCTTGGTTATGTCAGCCAATGAACTCCCTCCCCCACATCTTGCTTAAGCTAGTTTGAGCTGGGCCACTTGCATCCAAAAGAATCTTGACTAACATACCAGCTATTTCTATTTGTTAAAAAGCTCTGCAAACAAACAAAACAGGCACTGGCTTCCAGCCTGTCCTTCCCCCAGCAAGACTCGAGTTATTAATATTAAAAAAGGCCTCACTGGGGAGGGCCCATTGCTTGACATGTACGCAGGGGCCACTTACTAGTCTCATGGCCATTTTGCACCCGGGGGCATTACAGATCCTTGCTGAGTCATTGTGGTTATCTGCAAAGAGGTCGAGGACCACTGGGTGGTGGGGGTTCCGCTCATCGATGAGGACGAGGGGTGTGTGGTTCCAGATGGTCAGGTTCAGGGCCCTGGTGGCGTTGGCGTGGCTGGGCTCAGGAGCCAGGATCCTCTCCAGGACGGCTTCCATCAGCTCATCCAGGTCCTTCAGCAAATGCTTGACTTTGGAATACCTGGGAGGGGAGAGAGCCAGGCAGGTGGGCAAGGGACAGCGACAAGGCAGAGCGACTAGCCTCTGGGGTCCTCCCACTCCAGCGTGGCTGCCACCATGTATAAGAAGAATGGCCTCTAAGCACCCACCCACCCATGCATCCATGTGTCCTCCCACCACCCATTCACTCGTTCATTCACAAGTATTTCATGAGCACCTACTATGTGCCAGGCACTGGGCAAGGCACAGATGATACAGAAGCAAACAAGACAGACCCAGTCTTGTTCCTGATGAAATTCACATTCTGTCGAGGAAGAATCATAATGGCTTCGGTTATCGATCACTTACCATGTGCCAGGTGCTTGGTGCTTCCTACATCTTATTTTATGTACTTGTTGTCACAATTCTATTATCGCCCCCACATATAGATCAGGAGACTGAGGCTCTGGGAATTGCTATGATTTCCCAAGCTCACCCCACCAATAAGGGGCAGAGCTGAGATTAGAACCTGGGTTTGGGGAGCTGCGGGGGACATTCTGTTTATGCACAGGGTTCTGATATCTCCCTCCCACGAGGGAGCAATTTTGGGAACAGGAGGCAGGTTCAGGAGGAAGATGAGGCTGATTCCAGTACCTTCTTTCAGCCCCTGGGGGCTCTCACGTTGGAAATGGGGACCAGTCAGAGATGGTGGGGGTCCCCCAGGGTGTACCCCCACCAGGCTCTGCACTCCAGCCACTTCAAATGCAATTTACTCCAGACCCTGCCTCAGAGCGTGGTCACCAGGGCCATGCGTACCGGCTCTGGCTGGGGGACTTCCTGCAAGAGGGGGCATTAAGCCCTGGACAGGGGCCAAGGACCTGGTTCAAAGGTGTACAGCAGCCAGAGCTAACATCAGCTTCAGACATTGACACCCTCTGTCCCCTGACCAATGCACGAGCCACCTGTGTGCACACGGGAAGAGGAGGAGCCACAGGGGTGGCGTCGTGCAGGTGGCCGTGTTAGCACGGCCTAGGTGTCCACAGCTGCTGTCGAGCTTGGTGGCTCACTGTGCGGGCTCCAGATGCCGGCATGCCACTTATTAATAATAATACGGGCAACTTAACCTCTCTGAGGCTCTGATCTGTCTTCTACAAGACAGGGAAATAAAGATGTGCACCTCAGAGAGTCGTTGCGAGGACTCGGTGAGGTGATGCTTTCAAAGCACGTGGAACGGTGCCTGGACAGAGTGTGCTGTCCCTGGTATTATTAAGGGTTCTCTTGAGTGGCTCCAAGGACCCATCCAAGCAGGAAGAGCCCTATTACCAGAAAGGACTTTCTGATAACTGGAAATGTAATCATGAGCTGTGAATTCCCTTCCGGAACTTCCTTTTGGACAAGAATGTTCCCTGTGACGTAGCCACGCTGGCCCTTCTGTCAACTCTTTGAATGCACCAAGCTCTGTCTCATCCCAGGGCCTTTGCACGTGCTGTGTCTCCCGCTCGGGGCACTCTCTGCGCTCCACCCGGCGAACTTCTACTCATCCCTTGGGGCATTTTCCCATGACTGATCCCCTGTCTCTCCTCAACCCTGGCTGGGTTGGGTCTCCTCGCATGTCCCCTCCTTTGATGCTTTGCCATCAAATGCAGGAGGGGCAGCAGGGCAGAATGGCTAGAAAGCAACAGCTCTAAAGTTGGATCAAACCTGGGTTCAAATCCCGCAGTTGCCCACTGTGTGTCTCTGGGCAAGTTCACCTACCTCTCTGAACCCCCATTTCCTCGCCTATAAATTGGTGCTGCCACAGCAGTGCCCACCCTTACGGCGGCTGTGTGGATTAGAATGACATCAGTTACCCAAAGAACACTGGACACAATGCCTGGCGTAGCATAAGCATTTGATGTATAGTTCTTATATATTTTTTATCATCACAGTTATAATTAATCCAATATTTGTGGGAAAAACTTTAATGCCCTGTTTTCTCCAGTAGGCTGTGAAGAGGGCAGGGACTGTGTTTTGTTCACTGTCCAGTGCCTAGAACGGTGCCTGGCACATAGTACCTGCTCAGTAAACATGTTTGGTATATATACATAGGCACTGGTGTGCCTGAAGATAGGACTACCCGAGGTTCTCTCTCTTTCTTTCTTTCTTTCTTTTTTTTTTTTAGAAACAGGATCTCACTCTATTGCCCAGGCTGGAGTACAGTGGCTCAATTATAGCTCACTGCAGCCTCAAATTTCTGGACTCAAGCAATCCTCCTGCTTCAGCCTCCTGATTATCTGAGACTACAGGTGTGTGCCACCACTCGGCTGAGTTTTAAGGTTTTTTATTTGTAGAGATGAGGGTCTTGCTACGTTGCCCAGGCTGGCCTCGAACCCCGGGGCTTAAACAATTCTTCTGCCTCGGCCTCCCAAAGTGCTGGGATCACAGGTGTGAACCACTGTGCCTGGCTCCGAGGTTCTCTTCAAGCCTAGGAAGCTTATGAATTGTGACTCTTACATGCTGCAAAAGGATGAAGGCAACAAGGGAAAGAAAGAGAGGAGGAGAAAGAGAAAGAGGGAAGGAAGGAATAAAAGAAAGGAGGAAGAATGGAAAAAGAAGGAAAGAATAAACATAGTAAAAGAAGGGAAGAAAAAGGAGAAAGAAAGAAAGAAAAGGAAAAGAGAAGGAAAGAAAGGAAAACTGGAAGGAAGGAAAAGAGAGCAAAAGGGAGAGCAGTCTGTACGCTCCGGGGACTACCTACTTGAAGGGGCTGGCGTTGCAGATGGTGACCGCGGGGAAGTCCATGGCCTTGAAGCCGATGGAGAGGGACACGCTGACCTCCCAGCTCAGGTAGGTGTTGATGAAGATGCCCCACTGCCAGCAGACGAGGGCGGCAAAGAGCAGCGTGATCAGGAACCACATGGCCTTCTTCTTGGGCCCCTCGCAGATGATGCGCTTGGGGCCGTGGGTGTTGGTGTTGTCGCAGTACCACACCAGCAGCTCCTTGTAGGTGTAGCCGGGGCCCTTCTGCAGCCGGTGCAGGCACTTCAGCAGGTACTTCTTCACGTGCATCGTGGCACCTGCGGAGAGACGCGGGGACGTCACATCAGATGGGACACCAGCCTTTGCCTGCGAGGATGTCCCCGGTTTGGGCCAGAGACCGGGCGGCACATCCCAGCCCTCCCTCCCTCTCTTCCTTTTTCCTTCTTGCTGTCCGTCATCTATCCATGCATCCCTCCATCTGTCCCACCAACCAAAGAGCACGTATTGAGCGCCTACTGTGTATGCCAGGTGCTGGATTGGTCCCTCTGGACTCGATGATGAACATAACAGACAAGGTTTGTCGCCTCCTGGGAATTCACATCCTAGCGGGCAAGTTACCTAAACTCTCAGCCCCACCCCAGGTCCCCATGTGTAAACGTGGTACTGCAGGTCCTCGAACAATGCCATTTTGTTCTATTGTGATGTTGTTTCATTGTAATGTTGATGGGGGGAAAATACCAATTCCCAGCCAGGGCCATGTCTGCGTGGGTTTTTCTCGGGTCACGCTGATTTCCCCCCACATCCCAGAGATGTACACATTAGGCGAAGTGGCGTGTCTACACCGTCCCAGCGTGAGTGAGCGTGGGGTGTGCGTGAGTGCGCCGTGTGACAGAATGTCTTCTGTCCACCTCCCGCCTTGTGCCCTGAGCTGATGGGACAGGCTCCGGCCACCAGGACCCCGAGTTGGAATAACTGGGTAAGCAGTGATCTTCCTTGTGTTTATTAATCTTTCTTAAATGTGTGTATAGATCACATTTGCTTCAATGTGTACTATTAGAAGTGTTTTGGTCTTTAGAGGTTTGGTGATTTTTTTTTTTTATCAGAAATATGCCATAGGAATTCTTCCGTGTGTCAATTCACCTATAGTAAAATTGGTTTCGCTGTGTTATTTCACTTAAAGCCACAGTTTCCAGAAACCCATCGATGACGTTATGCGAGGACTCCCTGTAATAATCACATCTGGTTTACAGGACTGCCGAGGGAAACAGATTAGGTGATGCACAAAAAGTGCCAAGTACAGCCCGGCACAGAGCAGGTGCTCAGGATACCAGTTAATATTACTAGTAGCTGTTAGTGGGCAAGACAGACGCTAAGCAAATAACCATCGAAAACGCAGAGTTACGAAACGTGATGGGAAGAACTGGGACCCTGCGTCCTGAGTCTTCTCAGCATTACAGGACGCTGGAGCCACAGTGGCTGGCTTTGGATCCCAGCTCTGCCACTTTCTCACCGTGACTTTGAGCAAATCCCTCCCTCAGTGCTTCCGTCTCCTCATCTGTAAAATGGGGATGATAACAGCTCCCAGCCAATGAGGTTGTTGTGAGGATGGGCTGAGGGAAAGCAGGGAGCTGGGGGTCAGGGAGGAATGTCAGGCCCTCCCGAGGCTCCGCTTCCCATATGCGTGAGGAGGCAGGGTTCTTGTGACAAGACTCGCTTGCCACGCAGCCTGGCGCATGACAGATTCCAAGGCCATACCTGTTTCCTCCTTCCTTCTCCCCGGACGTGGAGCAGGAAGCTGCTGCAGGAACACCCCAGCTCTGTGCCCAGGGCCCCAGTTGCAGCCAACCCTCAAGGTCCAGACCAAAGGCCACCTCCTCCATGAAGCTCTCCTGACTCCAGGCTGGAACAACCCTCACTGTGGTGGGCAGTGGGACACCTGCTTGCCCAGTATCCTCTCCCCCTTGCCTTGATGTGTCAGGTGAACTTCCCCTCCCCTAGTCTCAGCTGGTGTGAGTTGCCAGGCTGACCTCCACCCCCTTGCTCTGGGAGGCGTGCACATGGCCCAGATTGGACCACTGGGACTCAATTCTGTTACTTTATGCCGGAATAACTGAGGAAGAGACCTCGCTTTTAACTAACACTACTAAGCTGGTGGTATCCAGCACCACAGATGGGAAGTCTCCTTGACAATAAAGCCAACACAGAGACAAGCAGAACCACAAGATGGAGAGAGAGATTTTTGACCACGCCATTTGAACACCTGGATCCAGCCATGCCTGAAGCCATTTATTCCCAGACTCATCGGATATGGGAACCAATAAATTTTCTTTCTTCCTTATGCTGATCCAAATTGGGTGTCTGTCATTTGCAACTATTAGAAGCTTAACAGAAAAAGAAATTCACCTCGTTTTAACCTGTGTCATAGTTACTTGTGCCTGCGGCTTCTCCCATAAGATCAAAGCCCCTTGAGGGTCCCGGCTCTGTATCCCTGACGATGCCTCGCGCTGCACCAAATATCCAAATGTATAATGTCAGACCTTCATATCTAGACAGAGATTTTAAACTTAAGCAAGCACGTTCTCTCCTGACCCAATTTTCTGACACAGTAACATTCCCTCACCTTCCTTGCCCAGAAAGGACCCTGGCCCCAACCATTGAGCATTTTCCCCTCCAAATCCACCGCCTCTGTTCTTTCATGGAAATTAAGCTCCATGTGCCTGGTGTAAGAGGATGTCCACAGAACTAACCCAACCCTCAACTTTCCCCAGATGGCTCCCTCCGTGCTGTGAAATAATAAAGTAATAATAATTATTATAATAACCACAACTACGAGGGCAACATCAAAGCAATAAGTGTTTGCCAGGATGCAGGCACGTGGGAAGAACCAGGGCTTCCTCCGCCTCGTACAGTCCAGCACCTCAACACCAAACAGGCGAGCTGCACGTTAGGTTCTAATAAGTAGTTATCGAGGAAATCAACAAAAGGGCCTCTCTAACGTCTACCTTTTCTTATTCTCATTTAATCATTCTGGTTGAGTCAAGGAGAAAGTCTCAGCTTGGTACTAACAGGTCCTTAACATCCCTGTAACCCTTGCTAATCTGCAAGTTTAACCATGAAGCCCCAGGCTCAGAACCTTGCCAGGCAACAGTATCCAGCATTCTGTTCCCACTGGGCTTATTGTCCAGAGGTACCCACTTATGGCAAGAGGTGCTGTCTTTCCCTTTGTGCTCATAAATATGCTTAAGCTTTAACAAAAAGGGAAATCGATTTCAAAAAAAAAAACTATTAAGTAAACAACAGTGTCACATGTAGCAAAAGCTGTTACAATAGTAGGCAAGTAACAGAAGTTTTGGTTGAGTCCTGGCTGAACTCCTAACTAGTTGGGCCCCTTGGGTCATCAGCAACGTAAGAATCAATAAATGGTGTAAACAACTTTATGTTGTTCTGGTCAGATTTCACCTCCAAGGTGACAGATGATCTGCTGTCTGGAATGGACACGAAGCTTGCGCAGAAGGGTTTGAATCAGTTTAGAGCTTAAACCAACCCAAAGTGGAGACTGAGTCCACGTGTGCCTGCAGGAAGAGCAGTCACCGGCTGCCACGCTTCAGGGAGTCACAGATTGCTGTCTATGCATTGGCCCTGAATGCCGGGTAAACATTCCTAGCAGCAAGTGCAAAAACAGTAAACGCTGTGTGCAACTGTTTTGGGTTTTCTTATGGGAGAAAAACATCTGCCCACTTTCCGGGATAATTCTTTCCTGAGATCTGACTCACACAGCCCGGAAGTCCTTGTGGAAAGATGTCTGGGAGCCCAGCGTGTGTCTCTACTTATTATTTTCACAAAAGACACATAAAAGCTATCCAGGTCCAATGGCCAATTCTTTGCATCCCCCTTCTGAATGAGAGGTTGCAAATGTCTCACCCATCAATTGTGTCGGGTTTGCAAAAGTTTTTTTGTTGTTGTTAGCAAAATATTGTTTTTTGCTTTTTTATGATTCCCCCTTTTAAATAACAGCTTCAATGAGATATAATTCACATATCATATAATTCATCCACTCAAAGTATAGGATTCAGTTTGATTTCAGTATAATCACATTGTTCGACCATGACCACAATCAATTTTAAAACAATTTTATCTCCCCCAAAGAAAACCCCATACCCACCAGCCGTTATTCTTTCTTCCTCTCTCCACCTTCCTCCTTTTCCTGAAACCATTAATCTATTTTCTGTTTCTGTAGATTTGCCTATTCTGGACATTTCATACAAATGGAATCATATTTAATACAGTATGTGTTTTTTCTAACTGGCTTCTTTCACTTAGCATGTTTTCAAGGCTCATCCATGCCATAGCATGTATTAATACTTCATTTATTTTTATTGCCAAAATATCCATAATATGGATATTTTATTTATGGGTATCATGGACATTTTATTTATTCATCCATCAGTTGATGGCCATTTGGATTGTTTTTACTTTTTGGCTGTTATGCTAATACTGCTACGAATAATTATGTACAAGTGTTTGTGAAGAAATATGTTTTCATATTTCTATACATATTTTATCTATCCTAAATAGATATCTAGGAGTGGAGATACTCTCTGAGTCATATGGTAGTTCTATGTTTAACCTTTTGAATAACTGACCTCAAGCCATCCTCCCAGAGTGCTAGGATTACAGGCGTGAGCCACTGCACCTGGCTATTTATTTTTTTGTCAGCTACTTTGGCTCATGTGGGCTTGTGACTTTGTGACCCCTATAAATTGTAGGCCAGATGCTTTCATTATAACCCCCTATACTTATTTTTGCAGAAAAACCTCAATTACCCAAGATAATCAGAGAATATGAGTTCTGGGTAGCTGGATTTTTATAGTTAATTGAAGGTTAACCTGAAAATGGATTTGACTCTGGTTATTGAAAAATCTTTCACGTTTCTGCCTCTGCTAGGGCAGCCGTAGAACATGACTGACTCTTTGTTCTCAGGCACCTAGCCAGGTGTGACAGCCACAGGTGGGAGGTACTGTACCAGCCTAGAGAAGGTGAAGGAGAGTTTTAGGGGAGCAGTCAGAATCTTTCCAGGGCCCAGGGTGTATCTTGGACATATTTCCATTTATAAATTCAAATATTAAGTGCATTCCCAGCACCCAGATTTTGGTCTCTAAATACCATTCCTGATTAAAAGAACCAGAGCTCTTAGAAAAATGGCTGACACCAGCTTTGGTGCAGGAAATGTATAAGGCAAGCCTGGGCTACCTTATCACACCAGAAACAAAAGAAGGCATCAAAGACTACTGGGGTCAGTCAAAAGGACTCCTTGGAA